GGGGGGGGGGGGATTGTCCCTAGTGGAGAACCAGTGCCCTAAGCAGTGTCTGGTTCTCATGGCTCTGCGACTCCATTCCACCTGCTGGATGCACAGGGAGGCATCCGTCTGACAAAGGAAACAGGGCGCTAGGACCGGAAGGGAAGGCCTGGAAATGTACCANGTCTGACAAAGGAAACAGGGCGCTAGGACCGGAAGGGGAGGCCTGGAAATGTACCGGCGCTGTCCCCAGCCCACTCACTTTGCTGGTCGCACCACCTCTGGGTGCAAAGAATAAATCAATCCAACATTCTTATAAAACATTAGCCCTCCTTCACCTTGGCCTCCAGTGACGCTGGCTGCCCGAAATGGCTCCGATTCATGGTCACTGGCTTACAGTTGGAAGAGGCCACCGTCTGAGGGCCTTACCAACGGACTCAGAGGGCTGCTGTGTGAAGGATCCAAGCTGACTGTGGGTTCCTCAAATTATACACAGTTCGAAACCATCTGGGCTCAGGTCTGAGGCTGGCTGGTGATCAAGGAACCTGACAAATCTTGTTCTGTTTATCTCTCCCTTGGGTTCGGAACAAGTGTCCTCACATTCATGCACAAAAGTTACAAAAGGTCGCTGTGATCAGTGAGGGTCTCCCGGAGTGATTAGCCCAGCTTGGCTGGATGGGTGCTGGCTCCCTCCCGATATGCAGGGATTATGGGATTGGGGCTTGGGAAATGGGAACTGACCCCAACTATTGTTGACTGTAGCTCCCACTGAGAATTCCTCTGGGGCCAAAAGATCACAGAGAAGTTAAAATCTTTTGGAAGTGCTGATAAGACAACAGAATCGATAGTGGAAAAACAAAAAAGGCTCCATTTGGGAAAGAATGCAACTTAGAGAAATAACCCCTTTGTTGCAGATATAAAACGACCCAAAGGAGTTCAAAGCCCTTTAGCTCCCTTAAAACCACTTATGCCTGTCCTGTTCCTGGGAAGGGGACCGAACGGCAGCTCTTAACTCCAGTTGAAGGTGAAGGGGACAGGATGTCTGTCCCTCACTGAGACGTGCTTATTCCTTCCTGAGAACCTTCAGTCTTTCTTGTCCTGCTCATTACAGGGTCACAAGTCAAGGGAGGGGAGAAGGGGAGACAGATTGAAAACGAGAGACAGAAACTTTCCTTGTACCAGGTACCACTTTGCTTTGAAGCAGGAGAATTTGCGTGTGCCAAGGTAAGCTTGTGGTTGTAACGGTTGTTAAGCATTAGAATAGGTTCCTGGAGAGAGTCACCAAGCCCCCTTCACCCAGCAGTATTAAGAACAGGATAAACTGCCATCATCGTTACCTGGACTTGCCTTAGAGCGGGAGAAAGACCAAGAGACCACCTTCCCAGGGCTTTCCATATAGTCCTCACTCGGTTCACCCCTGGAATTTACATAGACTTCCTTTTGCCCCCTCTCAACCTCCTCAAAATGCATAGATAAGCTGATACTCAGATATCCCCGTATAGTCTGAAGTTTGATTACAAGGGTCCTGAGCCCCCACATCTGGCCCATAGCTCAATCAATATTGATTGAACTGAACCGGGCTCCTCTGTTGACCAGCATTCCTCTGTTATCTACCAGGGAAAATATTCATTCTGAGAACCCCCGGCCTCTTATCAGGGCTCTGGCCAGCAGGCGAGGAGGGCGGTGGGTATGCAGGCAGTGCTTTTAAGGGACAGTGTTGTCAGTGGTTTTCTTTTTGCTCCTGTTTACAAATAAGAGAGGGGGTGCAAAGGTGGGATTTCCCCCATCAGATGTTTCCTGACTCTGCTACCCCCGGATGGTGGCCTCACTCCCTTTTCGTGCAGTGATATCGACACCCCAGGGACATCCCACCCAAACCTCACTGGGAGGGGCTCGTGGCCTGTGTATTTGCTGCCATCAGTGACTGGGAGGCCTTTTTGAAATCTACCTTGGGAGTTATATACCTTTTATTCCCCCCGGGGACCCCGAAGCAGGGCTTAGTTATGGAACCCCCCTCTTGTACCCTCCTCTTACGTAACATGGTCACTGAGTCTGGGCCCCTGGTTTTAGAGAGCTGGGCAGGAGAAAGGGAGAAGGTCATTCTAACCCTTCCTAAAATGTCACTTCGAGGAACCATCAGGACCACAGGTGAGGCGCGGCTACCCAGGCCCCTTCTCTCAGCTCCGGCCCAGAGCAAACAAGTCCAGCTGGGGGTCTTAAGGACTCAACATCAGAATCTAACAGCTGGATGCCAGGTACGAAGGACGGTGACTTCGAGGTGCTTTTCTGTCATCGTAAAGGAAGAAGAGCAGGGCCCTTGTTGACCCTGTGGCACAGAGAAGTCATCTTTGCAGGTTACGTTGGGGTGGGTGGCAAGCAGGCTGCGTCCGGTTCTCAGGGCATCGGCCACCCCAGGCTCCATCTATCATCCCGAGGGCTCTGGGCGTCAAAACACCTGCCCTCCTCTAACCCACGTGCACTGACTGGAATAGTCTACGCTGAGGTAGAATATTTCTATTTTCTTAAGGCACTGGTCATTCTCAATGGGGGGGCTATGTCCTCCCCCCCCCGAAAGGGGATCTTTGGTAATACCTGAAAGCACTGCCTGCTGTCATATGGGGGGCGGGGCCGTGTGAGTGACTGGCACCTAATTGGTAGAGACCAGGGATAATTTCTTTCCTTTTTTTTCTTTTTGTGGATACTTCTTACTAGTCATTGGTAACTAAGAAGCTCCAAGATGGGGTCTCAGGATGAAATGTGGGGAACACCGCATCCTACAGTGAGGGTCCCCAAGGATGGGGCTGACTTCAGGGGACACTGGGCGCCTGACGCTGCTGTGGAGAAGCAGAGGGCAATGAGTCTCTGGATAGCATTCCCTTAAGTCCATTTCATCTTGAGTAAAAAAAAAAGAAAACTTGACAAGGAGAGTCAGCTCACTTGGACGCGGCAGAGAACTGACTAGTGTACGGGCCAAGAAAGCTGTCGGCAGTAATCGCTGTCTGCTAATCCCAGCCCGGCTCTAACGGGCGTCTCCCGGGCACTCGGGGGTATTTATTCTACTAAAGATTTAAGCCAGTTTGTTTTTAAGAAGAAGCATCTTAATCCCCTCTGCTTAACTTGACAGCTTAATCTTGGTTACCAAGTCACTCCGGGAGCTGCGTGGTGGGCGCTCCTCCCTCCCACAGACACGATTAACCTCTCAGCTTATTTCCCCTCGAGTCTCAGGGGTAGAGGGGAGCCAGGGTTAAAGCCACTGGGGGGAGGAGGGGG